TATCTATAAAAGGGGATAGTTGCTGACCTCCCCACTCTATTGAACTGTAGAGAGAATGAAATAAGTTTTCTATAAGTAGTTTCACTACACAGAATATGCCAGAATAACATAAGGGATTATGTGTCATTTGTATCTTAGTGTGAGTGAATTTAATGTGTATTGTACAAACTGTGTGAAAACAAAAGCTATTATGTGGTTGAAGAGGACCAGATACAAATAGGAGAGATGGGAGAAGTAAAGGTAAATGTGTTTTCCCCATGGCCTTCATTAGGATTAACAGCCTTGTACAGAGGAGCAGCTTAGAGGGAGGCTCCCCTGGCCTCATCTGTTCTCTAAACCAAGCATGTCAAACTTGCGGCCCACAGTGAATATTTTTGCGGCCCAGCCCATATAACGACATGTAAGAAACGTTTTAATAAAAATTTCCTAACTTAATTTTTACAATATCCTGTTATACATAATTATTAATAACAAACTACAATGTTTGCCAATGACTGATTACTATAATCGTGTTGCATTCATTTCCCTTATGCGCTTTGCGTGCAGGCGCACCATTTCTCACCACTAATACTAGCAGCGAATATTTTATTTTTTTTGTTTTTATTTTTTAAATATATTTTATTGATTTTTTACAGAGAGGAAGGGAGAGGGATAGCGAGTTAGAAACATTGATGAGAGAGAAACATCGATCAGCTGCCTCTTGCACACCCCTTACTGGGAATGTGCCCACAACCAAGGTACATGCCCTTGACCAGAATCAAACCTGGGACCCTTCAGTCCGCAGGCTGACGCTCTATCCACTGAGCCAAACCGGTTAGGGCTAGCAGGGAATATTTTAACAGCCGACTGACACGTCATTAATCTTGGCTTGACTTGTTTTCTGTGTACCATAGGAAATATTTTGCTTTTGAAGAACAAGAAAAATAGGTTTATTTGCATTATGCTTATTAATTTGTGCAGTTATTCAGTGTCTGGTAAGTTAATGTTCAAGAAAAAATAATACTTTTTATTAAAATGTTCTCTTATTTTATGTTAACATTCACTGACTTATTTCAGCTCTTTGTATTCAGCATGTCTCTATCGAAATAAACCTATGTTTCTATGAAAATTGAAGCTTTTGTGTTTTTGCGGCCCACATAAACTTAAACCTTGTTTATTTGGCCCGTGTTAGCCTTTGAGTTGGACATGCTTGCTCTAAATGTAGTGCCCACACTCTCCTGCTCAGAACAATACTACACAATGCTCTGTCCACTTTCACTGTCCCCCTGTCTTGGGCTAGAGTTCACCCTGTAAGGTCTGGACTATGTCTCAGTTCCTCTAGAAGTCCTTTCCAACTGCTGTCCCAGTCCATAGTCATCTTCCTCCTCACTGAATTCTTGTTCTTGAACTCAGAAGCACAATTAGGCTTCTACTATTCGTAAGAGTTGGGCAATTGTTAGCTGCCACCGTCTTCTGTGCATATCATGACATCCCTCAGCACCGTGTAAATCTTCTGACTGGCTCAGAAGTCTGAGAAGGCCTCCTGAAAGGTAGTGAGCCCAGAACCTGTCTGCTTTGCTCTGTAGGCTAGAGGTTTTTTATGGTGAGCTTGCAGAGCCTCTAGAAAGCACACACCTGATACCACCCTCAGAACCTTCAATTCAATGGGTCTGCATTCGTTGCGCATCTGCATTTTTTACAGTGGAGTGAATACACAAAACTTACAATTATTTTCTACTGTCTTTTTCCTTTTTGTCCGCATGATTAGTAAACTCCTTCTGCTTAGTTTCTTCTTGCCTTGTCTGTCAAGGCACTTAATACCTCCCTTAAACCTTAAAATTTGAGTGTGTTTTCCTGCTCATTTCCTATGGCCTATACAGTCTGATTAATCTTCCTAATACAGGTGACTTTGTCCATCATCTTTTTGGTTGTTCAGTGGATAAAACCCAGTCTTTTACTCTTGAAAGCCCAGGCCCTTTCTGAGTTCCTAGCTTGGGTAGTTAGCTTCTTTTCTTCTTATTACTCAACGCCAACCTCTATACCCTTCAGATCATTCTCTTTACTGCTCCCCATACTCCTTTACTCTCATATCTATGTTTTTGCCAGCTTCCTGACTAGCCTTTAATTTTCTCTACATCTCCTTCAAGAATTCTAGATTTTATTGCTATCTTCCTGGGGAGGGTGATCCTGGTGGATATGGAGTTTTGGGGAAAAATCCTGATACACACCACACTCGTGGGTAGTAATAGGTTGGGTCCATTGCACAGGATCAAGGGTCATAGCTAGGCTTAGGGCTGACACTTGGGAGACATTGCATGTAGTGGGTGAGTTAAGCTATGAAATGACCTCATGGCTGAACTCTGCCCAAGGTTGGCAGGGAGGGAAAAAAAAGATGACTGAGGATGTGAAGGCTGCTGAGGAAGTAGCCCAAGACTTAGGAGAATATTGCAGTGCACCTGTCCTTAGGTAAACAGTTCATTATGAAACCTGACTGAATATGAGGTCGATATTTTTCCTACTGCCACTGAGGATCTTTCATTCTCAAAGGCTCCAGTACTCAACCTATTGACTCTCCCTTTATGATAAGC